AAAACACAGTGATTTAAGGATTTGGCTAAAGCTTACAGAGGAGAAAGCATTTTACAGTACAGTACGGAGGGTCGATGTAAATCATTTATTGGTCCTTTTTTACATTTTTAAGAAATCATGTGTGATGTCGCAAAAGAGGCAGCGCAACTAAACTTCAAAACAAGTCTCAAAAATAAAATATTGCATGAGTAAAAACATTTAAAGTGACCGCGGTGAAACAGAGAAGCACTTTCCACCACGCCTGGTTTCAAATCTGTTCCTCTGTCAGGGCTGGGATATTTGTAGGGGACTGACATCATCCACTAGAGACTGCAGAAGGATGTGGGTGCTGCTGTTGTCATGGTGATGTGGGGGGGGGGGGTTAAGATGAGAGTATGTCCCGCCAGTCAAAAACTTCAGTTTCAGGAGGGGGCGCTATACATCCAGTCACTTTTTCATTATTGTCCCTTACCCTTGGTCCTCGGTGTTGTCCTACAGAGAGGAGTGGTCTCCCTCCCTCTCTTTTTCCTCCCCCCTCTCTCTGCTTTGAGCTGCTGATGGAGAGCAGGTCTCTAAATGTTGGGTCCTTTGATGCGGCCCGCCTCCTGTAGTCTGGGGGAGGTGTACGCCGACGCAGCCAGGCACATGGCCGCCTCGCAGAACCCTGGGAGACCCCCATTGCCCGCCTTACCGGGGTACCCCGCCTCTCCGGCTGATCCCTGGGGTCCTCGCTCGCCGTGCCTACCGTCCCGAGCCACACCATCGACACCAGGAGGACCTGTGGGGGGGGGGGGCATTTTAAGAAATTATGCATACATAACCAAATAAACACTTGGATACATAAATTAACTTCATAACCAGAGATGGCAAAAGTACACACATCCTTTACTCAAGTAGAAGTACAGATACTCGTGTTTACAAATACTCTGCGTAAAAGTAGAAGCACTGACTAAACTTCTTTACTCAAGTCAAAGTAAAGAGGGCTTTGAAATGTACTTCAGTAGAAGTACCCATAACTAGCAGCTGTTTTAAAGAGTACCTGACCTCCCTTTATATTAATAGAACAATAATGTCATTGTTAGCTAATGAATGTTTCCATGCTGAACAACGGCAACATGACAACGTTTTCATTGGTCCCTCTTCTTTAGAGAAGACCAGGAAATGATGGATACACGGAGCGTGTTCAAATCAATAGGCACGCAATGACTCTAAATAATAATGATCACGCCACCAAACACACATTCAAACTAAAGGAACCAGCCTGTTTGGAAAATGTAAGAAGTAGAAAGTACAGGTATTTGTGTTCAACATGTAAGAAGTAGAAAGTACAGGTATTTGTGTTCAACATGTAAGAAGTAGAAAGTACAGGTATTTGAGTTCAACATGTAAGAAGTAGAAAGTACAGGTATTTGTGTTCAAAATGTAAGACGTAAAAGTAAAAAGTTGTCAGTAAAATAAGTAGTGGAGTAAAGTACTGATACCAGAAAAATTCACTTAAGTACAGTAACAAAGTATTTGTACTCCACTACTTCCAACCTCTGTCCATAACAATCGACAAATCAGGTAAAGAAAACAAATACAGCAGTACTTATCTTCAGATCTTACCACCTGGTCATTATACATGTTTTGTGTTCTTTAAATTTCACAAATTGTTCCCATCTTCCATCAAAGATATGAACTTGGTTTCTGATAATAATGGGTATTTTCTCCATTCCATACTTCTCATTGTGAGGTAATTAAGTTATTATCTTTTAACCAATTCCTTGTCATTTCTTTAATAACTGCTATTCTTATCACGAGAAATAAGTAGGAATCTTGTATGATATTATACAAACATTTGACATTTCCCAGAAGCTACACAAGACATTAAAAGACCAACATGTATAACTTTGGTTTGCCCACTGCTCACCGCTCACCAGCATTTTGAAGTGGGATTTTGTTTATCCTGACTTTGAATTTGAGGAGTCTTGAAGTAACGAATTTCAGGAGGGATTTAAGACGATTTCCAGGATTCTGAGATCGGAAATCTCCACATCTGATTACCCTTGTGTTCTGTATGCATATCTTTAAGTTGCGGGCACAGGGGAGTGTGTTTTCTGTTTGAATAAGTGTGTACTGTTGCAATCCTACTACATTTTCTTCCTGGAGCATCTGTTAAACGACTGGAGTTAATGATGCTTTTAAAATGCTTCTGAGCAGCCTCTCCTGTGGCAGGAGCGGTAATACCTGCTCTCTCTTTTTGCACCCCCCCCTCTCCTCTTTTGTCAGCGTAACAACATACTGTGTGCGTGCTTCAGTGTAATGTTTTCCACAGCTCTTACCTGGTATTCCTGGGGGTCCTGGTGCTCCTGGGTGGGGTTTACCAGGATCTCCTCTTTCTCCCTTAAGTCCTCTCTTTCCTGGGGAGACAGAGGAGGATGAGCTCAAAAGAAGTGTTTGACAGATAAAGGTCTTTTTAATAACCGTTGCAGGAAAGTTGGAGTATTGCCTGAATTTTTTCTTTTTGTTATCTTGTTACATCTGATTAACTTAAAGGGGACCTATCATGCAAAATGCACTTTTTGATGTCTTGTATAGATAAATATGTGTCCCCGGTGTGTCGGGGAACTCACGCAGCGTCAGAAAATAAAACCCTCTCTCTTTTCCTCCGTACCCAAATCTCTAAAAACGGTGGAACAACGGAGCTGATCCAGATTTGCGTCCGATATGACGTAATATCTGAAATGTGGACCCACGGCCCTATCATAAAGTTGATATCAGAAACAATGCCCGACTGTTTTGGGCCTAATATGGTCGGTGTTTACATTAGCATCGCTAACACTCAGAGCTAACCTGTACTGGAGAGCATGTGTGTGAAGAAGCAGGAAATAAAAAGGAACTCACCTTGTGGTATAACCGGCAAGAGAGAAAGCCTTTGAGCTCCATACTGTTTCAGAGATAATCCTTGATAATCCATGATATGGCGTTTCATCACCGCA